CATGAACAAGTCAATCAACTCCCTTTCAACCATAGGGGGTTGTACTCTTGCAGCTAAATCACGCCACCTCTGTGTGTATTCCTTGAAGCTCTCAGTACTCTTCTGCGACAAGCTCTGTAATTGTACCTGGTTGGGTGCTAGATCACTATTATACTGATAGTGATGCAAAAAAGCTTCAGCCAATTCTCTCCAGCTGCGGATATAAGTTCTCTCAAGTCCCATATACCACTCCAAAGACGCCCCTGCCAGACTGTCATGGAAAAAATGCATCAGCAGCTTTTTATCGTTAGAATAAGCAGACATCTTCCTGAAATACGCCCGAATATGCACTCTTGGACAAGTCGTCCCTTTGTATTTGTCAAAATCGGGCACCTTGAATTTAGGAGGAATCTTGACCCCAAGAACTAAACCAAGATCAGACATATCAAAGCCCAAAGAGTTCTGATTCTCAAAAGATTTCATTTTCTCCTCAATCAGCTTAAACCTTCGGTCATCTTCTGTCGGTAAACCACCCTCCATATCTCTCATGGAAAACACATCATCCTGGTTATCTTCCCAATGAGGGCCAGCAGCCCCGTGCACAACGCACACACTTCCATTACCAGCAACGTTACCATTCTCATTCGCAGCTCCTCCTCCCGGAGGTACGACAATAGTAGGGATACCCTGTGGGATAGATCCACCGATCTGTAGAGGAATAACACCAGCTCCTCCATGCAAAATGCCCTCTTCATCAACCCGTGCTATCAGCGGCTGGACCAAAGTTCTTAACTGTTCCTGCCCACTAGCAACAGTCTGCATCAACTCCATGAATTGAGCCATGCGAGCCCTAACTTCCTGCAATTCGGCTTGAACTTGATCCATTACTTTTTGCTGATTCCCTCGAGTCGAATACCTGTAGAAACTGAACTCCTCAACTTCCTCAATCCTGAACTAAAGAAAACCAAGCAGAGTTAGGAACAGAAGCCACTAAGAACACCTGCGATGCAAATGAAAATGCAAGATGCAAACATGTATATATGCAACAGGGAAATTCCTCCCGATTCTAGTTCTGAGAGTAACAGGACGACAATGGAGAACCCACAAGCATAGAGAAAAACCTCATACATACAAATGAACAGCCCAAACAAGCGGCATACAGGCATAACACTGAGTACAAACAGAATGACCTCAACCAAAAAGCCTGGTGATGGTCAATACAATAGAAACAACAATGACCTAAACCCTAAACCCTAAACCCAAACGCTCTCGAGAACTAGTTTGCTTGGCCAAATCCATACCCAAACTGTTCATCAGCTCAGTTTGCCTCTTCAAAGAATAAGTTGCTTCATTCTTCTCGCCCCGAAGCTGAGTAATCTCTTCTTCCAACTTCTCGTTAGCCTTCTTCAGCTCTTCTTTTTCAGCCCACACCTGATTATACTTCTAGATGTCAACCGTAGTGGGTTCTTCATCACAAGAGGACACGCAGGCTTAGCAGATGGGTAAGGCATCATCAACTTCTTGGCTCTGCTCTGAATCCAAACCAAATAGGAGTCATAGGCTCGACTATTGCTCTTCCCTAAGGAAACCTTCCCTCTTTTGTGGACATTGCTCCAAGCATGCTCAACTCTGGCTAGGGTATCCCCCTCCAATAATCCGATGAGATACATAGATTCCTGTATCTCTTCATCCTTCGGAGGACTTCTCAATGCGTACCCAAATTGCCTGATTGCGATGGACGGGTTATAGTTTATGCAACCCTTCCTTCCGACTAGCGGGATGTTAGGAAAGCTTCCACAACTATAAATGATCTCGATACCCAACATGTCCTTGTCAAACCAAACAATATCCTCAACAGACAATCTCATCAAAAGTTCATACCACTCTGATGGACCTGCAGTATCAGAGAACATACCAGTCTTGGGAAGATGGCTTACAAACCATAGATAGAGCAAGGTGCACAACAAGATATGATCTTCCCTCTTCTGTTCTCATTCTTATAGTGTACGGAATGATAAACGTCACCTAACAGCGTAGATATAGGATTCCTCGAAGCAAAGATACAGAACGCATACACATCTACGAAGTCTGAAATATTAGGGAACAACATAATACCATAGACACATAAGGCCAAGATAGCACTGAACACCACCCAACAACCCTCCTTGGCAAAATGTCGAGCTTTATCCACCATAAAAGGTAATGGAAACCCATATATTCCATTTCTCTTAGCTACTTTCCCTGTCAACTCAGAGGCGTCTAAATGTAAAGCTACAACAAGCTTAGCCAGATTTAGCTCATCCTCAGTATGATAGAATGGTATATGATCAAGAATAGACACTCCTAGCAGTGTAGAGAATTCCTCTAATGTTGGCGTCATCACATAACTCTGAAAAGTAAAGCCTCTCAACTGAGGATCGTAGAATTGTAACAGAGTCTGAAGACCATTCAACTCATTCAAAGAAGGCTTACATACAACGCCCAGAAGCTTCCCATAGGTCTGTCTTAAGTCTTCCATTACTTTCTTGTCGGCTAAAGAAATCAAACTCCGCAAAGCTCCAATATCAGGTGTTGGAAATTTATAGGTCAATGTCCTCCTTAAGGGCTCCATGTCAGATGAAAGAACACTAGAATTAGAGGGAAATATGCACCTGCAACATAAATACATGTTAATGAAAATGCAGATGAAAATGCACATGCAAATGCAAACAGGGGATCAATATTGATGTGCTGTAGATCGAGAAGAACCAGCGCTCCGCTTTAGCAAGAACATAGCATAGCTCTGATAATAGGAACCTCTGATATCGGGAACACTAATTCACACTGCAAAGAGAACCGGGTAGTCCGAAAGTTAAGGTTTCCTGCACAAACCAATCCCTCTCACAGGTATGGATCTATCCACTAATAAGGTTCGGCATCCTATGTGTTCATCAGCGTCACAGACTTTCAAGAAACGATGATACGTTCACCATTTATGGTTTGGCATCATCATCTCCCGAAGAGGCCTCACTTAGCTGAATCACAGATGATCGGTCCCTAGAGTCGACAACCCTCATATCTGAAATCCTCTCAACGGCCCACTAGGCTGGAAAGAAAGTCATCAAAGAGAATCTCGTATGAGCGTGAATTTCATGGGAACTAGTGCATGCCTAACATACAGGTTCACCACTACTTTCCACTTCTAATATTATGTTTGTACTCAATCCTAGGTCCGGCTTATCTCTCAATGGAACATTTCCTTCCCACAGCACAACAATAATGATATATACAATACTGAAAGTAAATGCAGAAAGATAAATAAAGTACAACACGTATATACATACACCCAAAATATAAACAACCAAGCGCTAGGATTGACTCGCATAGGGAACCAGAGTCCCCAGCAAAGTCGTCAGCTGTCGCAACTGCGAAAAACACCCGGCAGAAAACAGAAGAGTCACCACCTTTCGTTATTTATCCCAAAGAGAGGGAAAGGAAACGATCGGAAAAACCTAACGAAAAAGGGAAAAGATGAGGTCATTGCAACCAAGTCGTAGATTCGGGAGTCAGTTACGCAAGGGGAAGGTATTAGCACCCCTCACGTCCGTTGTACTCAACGGGATCCACGCTTGTTGTCTATCTAAAGGTATGTTTAAACTATCTACGCTAAAGGCTCACGGGACAAAAAAAAAGAAAAGAGACTCGGCAGAGCATCGCAGTAGAAACTAACGATGGCACGGATATTTTACTAATTTTATTTATAGATATCCATACAACTCATCTAAAATATTTAAAATTAATCCCACTAAATCACACAATATATTCCACATTTATATTATATTATCAATTCTATCACATAAGGAAAGTAAAAAACGTTCACGAGCGTACATAAACTAAAGAATGCATCTTCCCTCAATTACCCAAGTGTTATGAGCATGTGTTTTTGAGAAATGTGTGAGAATGGTGATATGCCAGCCCAACCTTCGCATTGCAAAATGGCACTTTGACAAATAAATGACTAACCAAGTCATCCGAACACAAAAGACACACTTGTATCATATTCCTCAATATAAAGCTACCGTCAAGTATTAATCTTATAATATAGAAATAAGTTGTTTTGTTTTGAAAGTGTCGTGGTTGATCTAGTGCTTTGCATAACTTTAAAAAATGTCGCAAAATCTCTTATAAAAAACTATTTAGTCTTCGACTTGATCCAATAATTTATTCAATAGCAAATTCTCAAAACCTAAAACAACAAAACGTGAACGAACATAAATGAAATGATCAAATGTGATTAATGGCACTGCAAACCTGATTTTAATTCACCTCGTGAACAATATTATGGTCACAATTGCATATACGAAGTGCAATTCAACACCATGAAACTCAAAGAGAGCCAAATTGAAGACCCGTAAATATCGGACCCAGTACCTCATTTTTTCTTTGGGGAAGTAACTTATGACCACCTAACCTAACCCACATTATATTTTCTGACACCCCATCCCCCACATAGGAACTCTCTTTATAAACGAATAATGGCGTCTCAGGCATTGATGAATAACTTTTAAAAGGATAGATAGAAGAAATGAGTACTATACATGGCATAATTAAGAAGAATTACACTGTATATCTCTACTCTTAGAACTAAGCTTTGCTAAGAGAGCATTCAAAACTTACACGATTTAAATTTAATTGGGTGAATAATATTTATGATATAACAATAACACCATAAAATACAGTGAAGTAAGTTAAAAATTGTTTTTAGTTTGAATTAAAATAATAAATATTTTATTTATTTATAATGAGGCTTAGAAGGAATACACCTATATAACCTTAACAAGTAACTTTGAAAATTAATTGGCATACATTTAACAAATCATTTGACAAAACATGAAAAAAACAAATTACAAATTTGCAAAGTTATTCTTTTCTACTCTTGCAACTAAGAAATAACAAAAGTACCATAAACAAGTTACATCCATTTAAGCAAATACATTTCTTAACATAAATTAAATAAATAAAAACATGAAAATATTGATTGCTTAAGACTCAATTACTTTTGACACTTTAGGCACATGAACAGGAAACTCATGAATCTCATCAATCCAAGGACTCTTTTCCTTAGCAGGATTAATAGTCTTCAAAGCTTTCCAAACAGCACTGTTGCACTTAAATCCAGAACCAAATGCAATTTGCCATGTTCTATCACCTTTTCTGATCCTCCCTTTAGCTTCTGTATAAGCCAGTTCATACCACAAAGAACTACTTGAAGTGTTGCCAAATCTATAAAGTGTCATCCTTGATGGCTCCATATGCCAATCACTTAGGTCAAGATTTTTTTCAAGTTCATCCAACACTGCCCTTCCTCCAGCATGAATACAAAAATGCTCAAAAGCTAGTTTAAAATCAGGAATGTAGGGTTTTGTTTTCATCTTGAAGATTTTCCGCGCGACCAGCGTCATGAAAAATAAGAGCTGTTCTGACATGGGAAGGACTAGTGGTCCCAATGTTGTGATGTTTGTTTTGAGTGCTTCCCCGGCGACAGCCATTAGGTCTTTTGAGAGTGCGACGCCGATTCTTTTCGTTTCGTCTTCTTCTTGAAAGACGCAGCCGTAGGATTTGTCGTCCGCGCCTTTGTGCGTCCGGACGGTGTGGAGTAGTTGGTATTTGGCTCGGCGGCGGTCAGAGGGTTTGTTGGAGAGGAGGATTGCTGCTCCTCCCATTCTGAAGAGACAGTTTGAGACTAGCATTGATCTGTTGTTGCCGAAATACCAGTTTAGTGTTATGTTCTCCATGCTCACTACTAAGGCATATGAGTTTGGATGTACCTATATATAGTTGTTTATCATATTGTTAGTAATTCAATTTGAATATAGAAAAATCACATATGAATATAAAAGTCACGATAGACATTTAATCAAGATCAGACAATAGAGATTTCAATTAAATATTTAAAATTATAAAAATCATTAGATTTTGATTCAACCCATAATAAATAATTTGAATGCCTCAATACATATATTTTCAACTATAATAAATCAATTTTGTCAGATATATACTAATATAAATATAAAAGAGTCAATAGATTTTTCACAGTAGGATCCGGCTTCGTGATGATGCCGGATCCTTCCATGCTCCCTAATTCAAAAGATGTCAGCATAAGAAAAGGGTCCAAAACTATGGGATATTTGGGTTCATGCAAGTTGAGAGGGTATTAATTAGGTTGGCAGAGCCAACAAAAAACTGCCAACAACTTTACAACTTGTAGTGTGAGTTGGATAACTTGTCCAATCAAACTTTTAATAGCATAAATAAAATATGTTATAAAATTGACTTTTAGCCATTTAAGTGGCATAACTAAGCTATATCCACCAATGGAAGCTAACTTCAAATTCACATGCACGTACTACCAATTTAATCACATTTACTTATTTGTGAAAATCTAAATAAATTTAAACTTACACATATAATTCGCATAGTTTCTCGATAAAAACTTATATTTTATCTGAACTTATTTATAAGAAAAAATTTATTTTTTAAATTTGATTACAAACCTGAAGAAGCTGTTTAGCAAGATCGATAGAGATAAGTCCGGCACTACAACCCATACCACCAAGATTATAGCTTAGAACATTCCCTCTCAAATTATAATGATTCACAATCATAGCAGACAAAGAAGGTGTTGGATTAAACAAACTACAATTCACAACCAATATTCCAATATCCTTAGCCTTCACACCAGTTTTCTCAAGCACTTCATCAATAGCACCAAACATAACCTCTTCAGCTTCTTTCCTTGCTTCAGCCATACAAGGATTTGGTGGGACACTCAATATTGCTTTTGGCAAATACGTCTTTTGCCCTAAACCTGACCTCTCAAGTATCTTCTTCTGAAACAAAAGATTTTCATCTGTAAACGCTTTTGTTAAATTCGATCTTTCGACAAAAACTTCTCGCGTGCATGTTAAATCTTGTTGCGGTTTATAACATGCGAAATCAACCAAGTATACGCCTCTTGGACGTGACATGAAATAAAGGGTTGCGAGAAATACTACTAAACTTGAACACAGTGCCATTGAAACAAAGTTGAATTTGAGAGTTTCATAGAGTTGGATTAAATCTTTGAGTGAAAAAGTTGATAAATGAGCTGAAGTTACTCCTAAGAGAGGTATTAAAATTAAGTACATAGCATTGGAAATTAAATAGTGGTAACCAAGTTTAACATATTTAAGCTTCACAGATATTAAAAAGTTGGGAAGTTTTCTTCTTTCGAAAGAAAAGGTTCTAAAAGAATGATTCTGTTGTTCTTCCATGAAGGGAATAAGAAGTTATTATGGGAAAAGTTTAAGGTAAAGAAATGGAGGTTGGAAAAGATGATGAGAAAAGAAACAAGAGGAGAAAAAGATCATTGAGTTGTGAAAATTTTGGAAGATGAGAAAAGTGAATTTAAAGGGTGAAAGTTAGAGGAGAGAGGTTAGTTGATACAACTACCCCGTCCATCATTTAATTCTTAACATGCTGTCATATTAATTCAATATTTTTGCCAACCCGAAAACAGGGAGTTTTTTTATAAATGTTATGGTATTTTTAATATAAAAAGCTATTTTATAATTAATATGAGTTAAAAATTTATTTGATAACTTATTATTTTACGAGTTTATAATTTATTATTATTGAATTATGATTTATTTTTAATAAATTGTTTCGTTAGAGAATTATAATTATATAATAAAATAATAAAATAGAGTTTTAGTATGGCGGAGCAAACTTTTAATACAACAGACAAAATACGAATTTGTAAGGTTGTCACATTAATATCTAAATCTGTAAATAAGTAATAAAAAAGTAAAATAAATTATAGTTATAACATATATAGCTCAGATCACATATGAAATATCTTATATACTAGGAACAACTAAGATGCCCTAAAAACCTAGGCTGCTTCTCACAAGCATAACATTTTAAAGAATAAGTTTTTATAATAATTATTATAATTAAAGATAAATTAATAATTAAAAATAACTTAAATCTTTAATTTTTAGGGAAAATGTGACGGTGAAATTCTGAGTGAGTCATAAGATAATTTGCAGCAAAAATATTTTGATTAAGATTTGAATTTTAGTGCATTTAAATGAGTAATTTTTAATTAAAGTTTATTAATGACTAGAGTTTAATTGATTGAAATATGAAGTTTCTTTTTTGTTTTATTTACTTTTACAGCATTAAGAAATTTAATTTGCCCATGTTAAGTTATCTTTTTGTTTTATTGTTGTTGTTGATGCATCATTTTCCAAATTTCTAGAAAGAAAACAAACATAGCCATAATTAATAGACAGATTGCTCAGACCAACTATTTTAGGGTCAAAAGTGTAAGTGTAATTTTTTGACTCAGTCAACTAGTTGGTGCTCCGCATATAATTCTTATATATATATATATATATATATATATATATATATATATATATATATATATATATATATATATATATATATATATATATATATATATATATATATATATATATATATATATATATATATATATATATATATATATATATATATATATATATATATATATATATATATATATATATATATATATATATATATATATATATATATATATATATATATATATATATATATATATATATATATATATATATATATATATATATATATATATATATATATATATATATATATATATATATATATATATATATATATATATATATATATATATATATATATATATATATATATATAAAAGTGGAGATCAATTTATTCAAAGAGTATATTTTTTTAATTTACTCCACATCATAACATTTAAATTGATTTTAATCTAGTGGTTAAATTAACATTTTTACTTGTAATCATTCTATTAAATCTAATTTATAGAATATGATTATGGAATAAGTTATAAAATCTTACTCTTAAAGTAAGTGGATCCTCATTATATATGATCAACTTACTCAAAAAAGTAAGTTTTATTAATTTACTCCAAATCATAGTCTTTGAATTAAATTTAATCTAATGTCCCACAATAAGTGACTCACTTGACTATTTTACATAGATTAAGAAAAAGAAATAAATGAAAGAGAGAATAATATTTTTATTAAAGTATCCTTAATATGTATTGAGAATGATGAAAGTATTATTAATTAGAAGATAAAATTGAAAATTAAAATGAGTCGTTCATTTTAAAATAATCTTTTATTTCAAATGGATCACTCATTACGAGACGGATGAAAGAGAGTATATATATATATATATATATATATATATATATATATATATATATATATATATATATATATATATATATATATATATATATATATATATATATATATATATATATATATATATATATATATATATATATATATATATATATATATATATATATATATATATATATATATATATATATATATATATATATATATATATATATATATATATATATATATATATATATATATATATATATATATATATATATATATATATATAGAGAGAGAGAGAGAGAGAGAGAGAGAGAGAGGTGTACGCGGGTTAGGTTGGACCGGGTTCGCCTTAACCCGTTACCCAATCCGTTCAACTTTCAATGGGTTGGATTTATCATCAAACCCGTAATTCTACTTTAAAAACCGACCCGAATCAACCCGGATATTTACGGGTTGGGTAGGGTTGGGTCCACGGGTTGTGTATATAATAATTATTATTTTCAATTTAAAAAATCTATAACACAATTCAATATAATTTTGCATATTTCAAACAATTAAATTATTTACGTAGTGGAGACAAATCCTACATATAAAATAGAATAATTAAAAATATAACAATTAAAATTTTGAAATGTATTTTCTTTGTCATAAAAAATATTAAGATACATATACACCATTAATTATTTATATATTTTCATTAATATACCTTAATTTATAAAAATTTATTAGTTACTTTGATACTCAAATGTTATCCATTACAAATATATATCAACATATGTAAAACAAATATATAATAATATACAGTATATATTAGTTGTTTTGATACTCAAATGTTACCTTTTCTAGCACATGCTTAAAAGTAGGTCCGTAAACTATCATATATATTAACACTTAATAATATATAAAATTCCATAAAATATCATTTCCATAAAATTCATAAATTCTAAATAATTCAAAAGCAAATAAACATCACTTAGTCTTAAAATAACATAGATGTATTGGTCCAATATTGGTCTAATAGCACCAAAATCTAACAGCAACTATAAAAGATTCCAGCACCAGCAGTGAAAGGTTTAGCAACAACAGAAAATCCAGCAACAGTAGCTGTAAAAGATTCCAGCAACAACAATGAAACGTTTAGCAACAACATAAAATCCAGCAACAACAATTAAAAGTTTAAGCAACAATAGTCAAAAGAAGAAGAAAAAAAACAACACTAGAAAATACCTTAAAATCTAGTAGTAACAGTTGTATTGAGCTCAACCGCAGTAATGCCAACATCAATAAAAACTAATCCAGCTAACTCTATATATGTAAACACAAACAACTAATAAGAATAATGTAATGTAATACTAAAATAAAATAGATTTTAAAATTCAAACATATAATTCATACCTGACTCAACCTTTTCCAATTCAACCAACTCTTTTTCTAAATCAATGACCTTAGGAGATTTGATCCAATTTTGAGTACAAATCAAAGCTTCAACGGTAGAGGGATTCAAGGAACTACGAAATGAATCAAGGACACGACCTCCTGTACTAAAAGCGGATTCAGAAGATACAGTGGATACAGGGATAGCCAATATATCTCTAGCTATGCGGGAAAGCACATGATATTTATTTGTTTTTCCTTTCCACCAAGTGAGAATATTAAATGTAGGAGAATCATCTTCAACACCATCCTCCAAATACCTTTCCAACTCATTTTTTTGCACTTCACATTATTTTTTCTTCATATTCATTCTAAACAAATTGTCCCAATCTTCATCATCTTCACCATTTTCAATTCTAGAATGAGAGGCAATGTTTGAAGATGAGGCATTGGAACCACCATCATGAGAAACAGGATACAAAAATAAATAGTGCTCAAACAATTTAGCAATCAGAGATTTCAATTTCTTTAACATATCCTCTGACAATTTTTCACCATACATCCGAGTAAAACAAAATTCAATATAGTCAAGCTTATAACGAGGATCAAGATAAATAGCAACAAAGAGAAGATAATTTATTGTATTGCTTTCCCAATACTTGTTGTACTTCAATTGCATATTTGCTGTCATGGTTTTCAAAATTGGATCACTAACATTGTGCCTCCATTTATTCAATGTTTTTTTAATATCCATCAACTGTTTGAAAAAAGAGTTAGCAGTAACATGCAATGACCCAGAAAAAGAAAGTGTGGCATCATAAAAAGTTTTCAAAAACTTCACAAAAATACGAGCTCGTTCCCAATCAGCTCGATTAGGACATCCTTTCGACTCAATACGGAGATTAGTTAAAAATGCAACATCAGCATGTTCTAAGCGGTAAAATGCATGTTCATACTTTTCAGCGATGTTCAACATTAAATAAGTAGAGTTCCATCTGGTTTCTACATCTAGTGTTACCAATGCTTTAGAACATACACCAACAGCTTCTGCACACTTCTTGAAAGTAGCCAACCTACTAGGAGAAGCTTTGACAAACTTACATGCAGCCCTAATTCTTTTAACAGATTCATCAATATCCTTTATTCCTTCTTTGACAATCAAGTTTAATATGTGAGCACTACATCTCATATGCAAGTACTCCCCATTAAATAAAGTACGACCATTCCAAAAACTCATGCCTCGATTTAAATAATCAATTGCCAAATTGTTAGCACTTGCATTATCAACAGTCACACAACATATAGACTTGATACCCCATTCCTTCATGCAATTCTCTAATGTTATCCCTATAGTTTCACCTTTATGGTCAGCAATTATACCAAAGCTTAATATACTCTTCTTTAAATTCCACTCGTCATCAATATAGTGAGCTGTAACACACATATAATTCATATTCTGAATCGATGTCCAAGTATCAGTGGTAAGAGACACCATTTGTTTATTAGCAGACAACATAGATTTCAATTTTTCTTTCTCATCGAAGTACAAGCATAAACAATCTCTGGCAACAGTGACACGAGATGGAATTTTGAATCTTGGTTGAGCCTCTTTCATGAACATATTAAATCCTTCATTTTTAACATATTTAAAATGGAGCTCATCAATGATTATCATCTTTGCAAGTGTTAATCTAGTCCTCTCT